GTATTTTATTAGTTTTTGTTATACAAAGAGAATGTCACAATAATGTGGCTGAAGCAAGTAACCCATATTTCACAATATGAAATAAAAGTTCATTTTGGTCAATCCAGGACCCTTATCAAGTTTCATTTCATTTTGTTTGTTTTTTGTTATTCTTCATATTGTTTCCCACTGTTTACTTTGAGAAAATCAGTAGGAGCCATGAGGAGGATTCGAACCCGCACACTGGGTTGTGAATCAAAACAAACAAACCCTAGACCACTACCCCACAACATGGTGTTTAAACAAACATCCTAAACCACTTCCTCACAACATGGTCAAGAGTATGTGTTTGGGAGTACCAAGTGTGCGGGGAATCGAATCCTCCTTGTGGCTCCTACTGATTTTCTCATTGATACTTGCTGTACATCACGTTAGTGTGATTTCATTGTGTTGTTTACTTTTGTATATCTCGGCTGTATGATGAGTTGTGCTGCATGATCGGATTCTACATTTTTTTTAAATTTATAAATCGTATTTAATTTTACCCAATTAAGTTAAATTTTAAATGGTCAAGACATTTGGAATCACTAGGAAACACTATTATTTTATTTCTGATAATACTGCAAACTTTGTATAAACATTCATAATAATCCTAAATAGAAAAGTTTGGAGTTTCATAATTATTTCACTTGTGTTGGGTCTGGTCTCTTCTCTTTTCCATTTCTCTCTTATGTTGCTTCTAAACTTCACTTACTAAATTAAATTGAATTCCAAAGGCTATTTTAAAGCAGTTATGACTTGATAAGGGTCCAGAATGGACCTAAACATCATCACTTTCATTTAATTTCATATATGTGGGTCGGGTGATATATTTACGGCTGTTTTAATTTATTGTTTTGCTTTATTGCATCACTTACAGATTATAATTTATCATCTTTTGTTGTAAATTTAATTTTACCAGAATACTTCATACTTTTCAATCAAGTTTTTACATTTTTTTTTACATTGTGTGATTCTTAGAGAATTCTTCAGAGGTGCATCCCCATTTCACACCAGGATCTCACTACAGTATATTTATTATTTTCTTTACTTATTATGTTATTTGTGTATGTTTATTTAAAATAATCATAACAAAATGTCTTTATAATTATATATATCGCATTGTACATTTAGAGCACTTCAGTCATTTCAGCTTACAGTATGTTGCATAATGATTTGCTAATTCTACACTGGAAACAGATTGCCGCTCTTTCACATCTAGTGTTTTTGGAGACATGAAACCTTGCCATGTTTCTGCAGCGTGAGCAGTTTGTTAGCATGATATTTCTTTCCTTTGAAAAGCATGAGAGGAGCCTAGCACTGACTGCTGAAATTCTCACCAGTCATTTCAGGTACTCATCATCTGTCATTTCAGGTACTCATCATCTGTCATTTCAGTTTCTCATCATCATGTCATTTCAGGTACTGCAGCTGTCTGTTATTCACTTCATTTTATATGTTTGAAACTTAATAATGCATTTTAATGTTTGTTAATTTCATAAATTTACTGTGTTCGTGGATATGGCTTTAGTACCTGTTGGTGCAGCCATTCCTGTATAGTGCGGGGAACAGCAGCACCGGTGACAGTGGTGTCACACACAGTGGATGTGATGGTGGTGGTGGTGAACTCAATATGATCAGAGCATTTTATCAAATGTTCTTCACACAATTGGCATCTGAACACTTTGTCACCTCACAGCACCACCAACATTTTATGAGCCAGAAGTCGTCTGTCACAACCTCCCCAACTTGTACACACTCATTTCCTTCCCAAGTACATCATCATCAGCCAAACTTGAATTGTGATTCAGCCTCGCCACTACAGACATTTAATGTGTCCCAGGTATCTGGTTATCCCCAGCAGCAGCATCAACATGTGCCACCACATTTTCTGAGTGAACCATTTCAAGGTGTAAATCAACATAATACAATAACTCCACAGCACCAAATTCATCATTATAACCCAAACTTCCAGCAACAGTCAGAATACCACCAGTACTTCCAAAGCCCTTTGTTATTTCAGCCTTACAACCCAGAACTAATGCATTGCCAGCAGTCACATACAGTGACTTCAAAACCACCGGGTCCCATCCATTTAACACCACCATCGACACAGATACATTCTGCTCAAATAGATACATCTTCCACCCCTTTACAGGATCAGAATAGCCTCAGTCCCCATCTCAACCATTCTCAGTTGAATTCTTCCTCCCATTCTACTGTCCAGACTCATGACCACCTGCCAAATAAGCTTCAGTCTAGCTCTTCTTCTAATCATGATAGTTGCTCTCCAAACTTTTTTCAGTATCAGTACATTTCTAACTACCTTAATCGTTCAACGCCTTCTCCTCCTGCTTCTCAATGTTCCAGCCATTCTCAGTATTCGGATCAAACACATTCACCCAACCAGTCTAAATGTCTTGCTTCTCCTACTCACTATGCGATGGTCCCACCACCTCGTCAGTCAAGCCCCTCATCTTGCCACCGACTTCGTAGTCATCTTCACAGTCATTCCCCTTATACTTTTCCTCACATGGACACTAAAAGACAGCCTCACCACCACCATCACCAGCAAGGCCTCTGTGGTAACACCAACAGCCGAATGTCATTCACAAGGCCGGCAGTGAAACCTCCCCCTCTGGTGCTAGCAAGACAGGTCTGTAAAAATAATCAGTGGTGTGATGTAGCTCAATTGGTAGCAACTGGGAAGGATAGTCAACCATTTTGTTGGTACAGTAATTGTTATATTTAACCAATTTGTTGTAGTATGGTTCAGTAGATTATTTTAGTTGACAGAATAGTGGCATAAGCATGTATAGAAATACCCATTATCTGTTGAGTATGACTTTGCTGCTGGGTTCTTGTACTCAATGGATTTTATATTTCTGGAGGTTACTGGTATTTTTTAATTTGGAGCCTCCAAGTTAATTTGATTTCTTTACATCTTTTTCTGAAACATTTATTTTACATTATGTTTATTACAACAGTCTACTGTGGTAGTGCGTGGCAGAATTTAACACTTCACTACTTGGGGTAAAACTTTATAGCCATACAGTATTTCTGCTTAGGTAGTTATCTCTTACTTTTGCACTTTGATGAGAATTGTTAATACAAGAGAACCATGAACATCATAATTTTCACAAATTTTAATAGAAAGTTAAAAAGTTTTACCTGTTTGGAGAAATTCAAGTGTACTATACATACTACACTCATTGCCATCTTATTTATCTTGGTGGCTTGTGATTATATTTTGTTTATAAAATGTTGTATTCAATTACTTGTAGGCAGTCACCAATGTAGGCTGGCCCCAGGTCAGGCTACAATAGAAAAACCATTAAAATCGTCCACATGCAATTTAATGTACACGATTTAATCTGCAGGTACTCAAGACCAATTTTAAACCAAAATTAAATTTAAAAGCCTCTAAATAGCTTTTCTAATGAAAATTACAAATGCCTACAATACATGACTTGGTGCACAAATTATATATGACTGCAAATAACTGCTTGAGAAAATACTAGTCATGGGTGCCTATCCCAGGTCCTTGGATGAGGATCACAGGTTCTTGGGAAAGTACGCCTTGCACATGGAAGAATACCTTTTGCACTTTGCAACGTACTCCATATTCTTGGAAGAGTTTCACTTGTTTTTGAGTGAGTGTCCCCAGGCCAGTAGTAGTGTACCTAGTATTCTTGGTGAAGTACTCTGGCACAATACATGGGAAAATATCCTTGGGATGTGGGTGAGTACCCCATGCTACTGGCTGTCACTGAGCTATGGGTTTAGCATTGATGCACTTTCCTGGCCTTAGAGGCATTGGTCTTTTGCAATGTGGCATGCAACTCTTGCTGTTCAGGCTTTGGGGATGGGGTGACACGGCTTGTTGCATATCCCTCTCCACTAGGCTCGGCTGTCCATCCGCTCTTTGTCTGTGCTTTGGTGATGCCTTGCCTCTTTTGAGGAGCCCCTTCTGGTCTCTCCTGTTGTGACATTTGACATCAGATGCTGCTGCATCTCTTCTGGTATCTTGCGCTCCTGCCATTTCAGAAGTTCCCATTGTAAATACTGTTGTCATTTTGTTCTGGTGGATGATCTTTTGTTTTTGTCCCCTAGGGTCTGGCTGAGAATGAGCTCAGGCCTTTTTTTTTTTTCTTGCATGACGGTCTTTGGTGGTGCTACAGTACTTGCATTCGTGAGGACCTTTTAGCTTTCTGTTTCATTGGTCTTGTTTCTAATTTTAGGTCCATTTAAGCCCTTTTGGCTGTTTGTCCATTATGTCTTCCTGTATTGTTGTTTTTGTCTATGATGAATTTATAGGATTTGTCTTACACGCTGATCCTGCCCTGATTCCCTGCTGGTTCTCTTTGGTATTGCCAGTACTTTTCCCAGAATCTTCTCTTTTTTGCAGTGCTTTTTGCTGCCAATGCTGCACAAGCACTTTCTGGTGCATCATTGTTCTTTTCTGTGGTGTTTTGTGGTTGATTCTTTTGTCTGGGGGATGGATATTTCAGTGTTTTCTTGACATTATTTCAATATGTTCAGATGTCAATTTTTCCTGACATCTCCTGACATTTTCCTGCAGTATAACCATCAGCATCCTTCAGCTTGTCTGAAGTTGTCTTCTGGGCTGGTAGTGTCTCCAGCAGTTCTGGTGATCCATCCTGCTTGATTTTTGCGTGAAGTCTGCTTCCTCAATTTTCTTGGGTATTTCTGCCAGCATTTATTTTCTAGGTTTTGATCTTATCTCACTGACCTCTCCTTGGTGCAGACACCCAGCTGGTTCTTAGGACCTTAAGAGGTTTTTGTTTACCTGCATTCTATGTTGGCATTATTTACCACACTTTGAGATAGGGCAAAGTGCCTGCTGCTCTGTGTGGTTTTTTCTCATTGGCTGCACTGTTCTCCCTGTGCTCCGGTTTTGTGGAAAGTCATCATTTTTCAGGTGTTCTCCACATTTATCTTACTCAGACTTCTTGGCCCAGGGTATTTGGTGGGAAGCCTGTTACCTGCTCCTGCTTCCCTGCCTCATCCATCCAATGGGCCACCTGTCTCCTGGTTGGGTTCTCTTCAGACAGGGATGTCTCCTCCTCCTTCTGGCTCTACTCTACAGCCTGGGTAAGTACCACTTTTCATTTTATATTTTATTATCATCCTTGGTGTTTACCATGGAACCATGGAAGTCTTGCCTAAGGAAACAGCTGAAAGAGTTTTACTCAGAAATAAAGCTTTGAACTTAAATGAAAGCTCCTTTCTGAGCAGGTCAGTTGGTTGATATTTTTTCTCCTGCTTTGACCGCCAGGCTAAATGTGAGGACAGCAGGTCACTGTGCCTCTGTAGACATGTACTGACTCTGTAGACAGTGCTGACAGCATGGGGTGGAAGCAGTGTAACCAATTAGCAATCAGCAAAGTGATACTTAATGTTCTTCTTGAGGCTGAGTCAACTATACAACCATCCCAGCCTTACCAAGATATGTCCAACCAATCACCCGTATCCATTTCTACTCATTCTGCTACCACTGCTACCACTAGCTTCACCACATCTCGTAGTGAAGCGAGATGTCTAGCGACAACAAAATAACATTGACACGCGATCAGCAACAAACAATTCCACAACCACAGCTGCCCAACATGACTCCTCAATGCGCTGAATAGGTATATCAGCATTTCCACATCTAACCTTTCACACACAGACCATGTTGAACCTCTTTCACTGGGACATTCCCCACTGATCAGTACATGTACACAGATTTAGACGATGTGACGAATGTGGGGATTTCCAGTAGGTACAGGAGCTTTAGCTCAGATCATTGCAATAACAAACAAAACAGAAATAACACTTAACAAATTTATATTTTTATTTCCAGGGTAGTAAATTATATTTTCTGATTGCTTATGCCTCCAAAGTATAGAAAATGCCTATTAGTCCCCCTCAAATTTTGCTTTGATCTTTGCTTAAGACAGCTTAGGGAAGATGCCTTGAAGGTACCAGAAGGCTGCAGACTTGAGAATGTCACAACTCTATATAAAGAGTCTGTAGCCTTTAAGTATCTTAAAGATGTCTTCCCTTATCTGTCTTAGGCAAAAGTCAATGTAGATTTTAAGGGGACTAATAACCATTTTCTGTTCTTTGGAAGCATAATAAATCAGAAAATAACACTACCCAGGAAGAAAAATGGTTACATTATGTAATAGGGGATGTAATCTTTCCAATGGGCTCTCAGGTGATCAGGAAATAAAGAAACAATACTGGAGTTTTGCAGAAATGCCCATGGCAGAGATAGCATATCCACAAGGCTAGATTTTGCAAATACTAAATAGAGGACAAGATGCTAATGGTAAGTAGTCAGATATAATGCAGCAGATGACTAGTGGCCAAAGGAAGAATATGGCGAGAACAGCAGAAACAGTACTGTAAAGGCCATCGAGACCTTCACTGTACACTGTAAAGTGACAAGTGGAATGAGAGCAAACTTCATAGTGCCTTTAATCATAGGGAAGGTTACTGAACACTGAATGATTCCTATGGTAGGGATGACACATGGAGCTCAGCAAAATTGGTGGACTCTACTGATAGATTCTTCCTAAAGTAGCACATACTGCAGCTAAAGAGGGAAAAGGCAGACTTGAGATGTATATGGTACACCCTGTCATCCAAAATGCAACATAAAGCCACTATTGTTCAAACATACAAAAATAAACTGTTGCACCAGAAACGTTCACATTTTGTACTATTAATTTTGCAGTGGACACGAGAAAGAAGGCAAGAACAGGTTCTGTAATTCCACTTTTTAGCATCCCATGTGGAGTATTCCAGTATCTTCTTGAGGTTATCTTGAGATGATTTTAGGGCTTTCGTGTCCCCGCGGCCCGGTCCTTGACCAGGCCTCCACCCCCAGGACGCAGCCCGTGACAGTTGACTAACACCCAGGTACCTATTTTACTGCTAGGTAACAGGGGCATAGGGTGAAAGAAACTCTGCCCATTGTTTCTCGCCGGCGCCTGGGATCGAACCCAGGACCACAGGATCACAAGTCCAGCGTGCTGTCCACTCGGCCAACCGGCTCCCTAGGGCTCCAGTAGGACAAAATGTAAAAATATTTGCTTATAACAGTTCAATTTTGTACATATTATCAGTAGTTGTTATACATGATATAATTTTTTGGAGTATAGGTTGATATTGAGAAGATAATATATGGGCACCACTATTAAATACTATTAAAAACCACTACTGTATATACCATTATTAAAAATGTGTTATTTAAAGCTCAGAAACATAATTTTTGAAATAAATCAATAAGATTTAATGATAATGGCAGGAAACTGTCCCTCTTCTGTGTTTTTAAGGCTGTACCGTCTCAGTCCCTCATAATCATCTTAATGAAAATCACTTCCTAAGCTCCTAGTCACTCCCAATCATCCTTATACTCTATAAGGATGATTCATTAGTATGTGGGAAAGCTCTTTTATGTCAAATTTGAAAATGTGCAGATGAATTTTGACATAACAGGGATTTAGCATGACTTTACACATTATCGGATGATCCATGTGTCTGCTATGTTCTTGGCAATGTGTCTAGATTCCACACACACCATATTTATTGTGTTATGCACCAGTATAGCCAAGCCTTATGAAACTGTATGAAGACTTCAAGACTAATCCTAACCTAACATGAGCCAGGACTAGAATCTGGCTCTCATTATGAGGTAAGGGGAGCCTGAGGATCAAAAATACCATATGAGTAGTACTAACAAACCAGCCCAGCTAAATTAAGAAATGGTATCTCTGATGTAATCTAGACGAATTAATTATCACTGGCACAGGGACACTATTCTTACTAAAAATATTTAGTAGTCTATTAAGACTGCTCAATAGCTCGGTCGATAGAGCTTCGGCCCCACATGCTTGGGGTCCACGGTTCGAGTCTCCTAGAGCCCAGGTGAATGGAATGGAATGGACTATATTTGCCGTTTCCAGGCACCACCAGATGGCACTTAAAGTCATCTGTTGGCAACAGAAATTATCCATGTGACCCAATCTTTGCGGGTCTCCTCCGCCCTATTATCAGTGGCAAAGAATGATACACCCAAACTACAGATGATTCTGAATCTTTCTTGGCATAGTTTCCACATCACCTGCCCAAGATGACTACTTTTTCCTTGGTTTGCCAGGGGATTACAACCCAGTCTTGGCTCATTAACCTGAGCCTATTGACATGTTCCTATCCATCTCAGGTTCAGGGACTGGTTCTTCAGAAGCTCTAGCTCTTCTTAGTGATTCAGGTCATGACCTACCTTAACTGTTAGTTGATTTGTGCTCCAAGTCACCTGTCTTGCCTGCTAGCCAAAGATTTAGTGCTGCAAGTGATGGACTGGTGCAGTTTCATTTTAAATCTCTGGGTGTCCCACCTCTTGCTTAGGCAATGCCATCATTGGCTGAGGTTAGTTTGGGGTACCAGATTAGTCTCTCTTCTTTCTAGAGAGCACTTTGTGATAGCTTGAAATTGATCAGCATTTGGTCATTGGAAGGTGCTATACTGTTTTCTCCAGTAATCTGTGTTTTGCTGGATTAGGAGTTATGTAATGCATATATGTCCCATTGGGCCTCAGAGTTCCCCTGCTTAGGCATTTTCTTCTTCAATCTTTTGGGGATTTAGTTCCATCATAGCTTCCAGCCTCATCATTCGATCTGTTCATGGATGCATCCAGCCTGGGTTGAGACTTATAATCAAGTCTTCATGCTGAACATGAATTTTTGTCTTGATTTAAGGTTAAATCAGTGTGTGTGAGTTGTTGGCTGCTTGAATTGCACAACTCTCCAGTATGGCTTGGCGATTGGATTGCGCTCAGATGGTTCTGCATTAGTCCATTGCTTGAACTGTTGGAGATTTGACTTGCTTGCTTTCAATATGGCAGTAGATTCTAGCTGTAGCTTTTCCTCTGGATTCTCGTGGTTTATTTCTTCGTGCGGTCCACACTCGTCGGTTGTTGTATGTACTCATTGATTGTCTCTGCTGCTCTTGTCCTATTTTGATGGAATGGAAGGTGGATTTGGCTTCCTTTTCATGTATATATACGAGACATTTGGTCATCGTTAGGTGGAACAGTTTGCTTCCAGAGAAAAAACATTACCTCCGGGTTTACATAGTCCCATTCCTTTACCATAAGATTTTGGTATTGGATTCTTTACATCTCTACTGAAACAGGTAGGATTTGATCCATTTCCACCAGTCTGGATGCTGCTTCCTGCCCTGTCCTGTCCAAATTGGAGAGCTTTTAATGTGTCATCATTTTGTTGTCTTCCATGTTATCTTCAGGTCTCACATGCTTGTCATGCCCTGCCCCAAGGCTTGCCTCTTCCAGTTGATTTGACTGATGGCTAGGGATCCAAAACTTTTCACTACTCTCTAAATATTAAAGGGACATAACTAGCTGATCTCCTTTGGTCTTCAAAAGGGGACTTGATTGGCACCTCCAAAGGATACCAGATCAACTGGCTTGTAATTCATATGTCAGACAGCAAGCAGCAGCATCTAACAGCCTGATTGACCAGACCAACAACCACTGATGTTGCAGCTGCAGGAACAATGATTTTTGGAAATATATCAAGATAGTGTCAGGTAAATCCCATGCCTGTTGCCTAAGGAAGCATACCTCGATCATCCTCCGTGCCTATTGCCTCCTGTTTGGCTATTTCTGTAGCAGAGATTTGGGCCCGAGGGTCCTGAAGGTCGAACGGGACCTTTGCATCTAATTTTCTGCCAGTTATGTCATGTCTCCACCACTGGTATGTTGCCCCGAGTCCTGTCTGTCTTCTGCAGTGTACTTTGGTAAGTTTTCCTTTAATTTTGCATGCACGAGCCATTACTTTGCATCGGAAGGTGGCTCAGGGAAGCTACAAAAAGAGGTCTTGCTCAGAAATAAAAAGCCGAGTTGAATGAAATGCTCTTTTCTGAGCTGCGCCTCGGTAGCTCCTCCCTTCCTCAATTTTAGTTTACACAAATTCATTTGGGTAGCTCAAGTGAGGGTAGCCACCTCTCCCACGTGAGCAATTCTAGTTGGTGCTGCTGCTGTCTAGTGGCAATCAGTGTAGTGGTAGTTGTATGTTATGCTATTTCAAAATGAGTTGACTATAATAGAAATCCTAATGCGATAATTTTCAGGGGTATTGAGAGGTATGATTCGTTCTTTGGTGTCATTGTAAATGGTTATTCTTGTTGGAGGACTGAGATACATTCTCCACTATGTTCCTCACCCCTGGACTACAGAACAAGAATATTTGCTAAGTTACTTGTTTGGTAGGCTCCAAGATGGTAGGCTCCATCAATGCTTTGCATACGATGGTCTTTGTGATAAGTCTTGTGCCATGGCTCACGAGAGCTACTGAGCCACCACTTAGAAATGAACATTTCATTCTACTCAATGCTCTGTTTACTGAATGTTTGAGTCTTAAGTTTCTCTAATGCATCTGGTTCTTTACTTTGCTTTATTGACATCATCTTGGGGTGCACATTACGACTGTGCCACATAATGTAATTGTAATTATATCGTATTTATATTGTATATGTTTGTGTAAATGTAGCTATGAATTGTAGAGGTGTAATTAATAACAATTACTGTTGTTCTTCAGTCTCTATTATGGTTCAGTCTTTGCATGCTTGGTATACATTTTGTATTTAAAGAACTGATGGAAACTTTGTTATTACAATTATTAATGTATGGGTTTGTGGGGCTGAGAAGCTCCTTAAAAAGCAGGTTTGGTATTTGTTGTTTAATTAGAGAGAAACTGTATTTCCTGCACATAACTGACTACTAACAACACCCAGAAACCATCACTTATATAGAGCGTGCTACTCTCTATATCAGGAACAGGTGTTTGGAAATAATTGGATATAAACAGTGCAACATGTTGAATATACTTTATGGTTTTTGTAAGAACATTAATTATCAGTGACCTGGGCAATTATGAGAACTGTGCTTTTGCATTTGTTATTCATTGTAAATGACTGCTGATCTAATAAGATTTACAGGAATTGCTTGATAATTATTTTATGTTATTCCGTAACAGAGGTTATCAAGCAATGAACTTCCTGATGTCCTCACACCCGAGCCGCCCACATTGGCTGCTATGCCACGCAACCTCATCGTTCGCTTAAAGTAGGCGAGCCAATGAACGAAAAGTATAGATTGATGTGGACAAGAAGTGCAAATTTCCAGCACCACAACAGTTTGGTAACTTTTAAGATTTTTGGCTGTTATATATACAGTGAATGACACTTTTTTTAATGATATACAGGAATAAAAAAAAAAATATAAAAAGAAAAAAATGGTAGGGAAAGCAAATGAAAAAGATACACAATTGTGAGTACATTAACAAAAATTAATATATTTCTTGGGCTTGCAGCTTGCATAAAACTTAAGTTGCCTTGCAATATGTATTAGTGTGAATTTATATATATATATATATATATATATATATATATATATATATATATATATATATATATATATATATATATTATAATATATATATTATATAATATAATATATATATATAATATAAAATAATGATTTATTAAGTGCCTTGATTTTGACTTTATTGGTACCCCATCTACCCATCTTCAGTTAGCTAATGATGATGGCAAAAGGGCACAGTGATCACAACTTACCATTTTACTTTATAAAATTACAAAAAAAAGTCAATTGCCTTGAAATTGGTTATTGTTTTATGTTATTAGTGGTGTGTGTGTGTGTGATATGTGAGCAGTCTTGTGTTATGGTTACGTCGCTGACGGCGGAGACTTTACCTGAAGGTTTAAAGGATACATAAGAAAAATGTTATACAGTATAAATATAATGTTGTTACTTATACTATGCCCATAGGATTCAAATGCAAGAAAACGTTTTAGAAACAGGGAAAAAATAGGAGTTGTCAATTGACACACAACTGCAAAAACAGGTCATGGAGGATTATGCTGTGTGCTGTCACGTTGAACTGTTTTAATGAACAAAAGAAAAATAAGACAAATAACATACTGTTTCGTAACAAACGGGTACAAACTAGAAAAACTATCCGAGTGTTTACCCCACTTGGACTATTGAATTATTAATGAATATTTCATTAACCATAAAATATTGGAAAATTCTCATTAGTCTTGATTCATTGTATGAAGCCTGAGTCAACCAGAAGGAAGCCAAACTTGTTGTTAGTGATGGTATTTACCCGTGGGAAGTCCAGATCAATGTAGTGTGCACAAGAATGTGGTGTGTACAGAAATGGGAAATTAACATTTCCATGTCAAGTGTGGGACTGAAGTGAGTTTTTTATTCGACTGGAATTATATCCAGAACTATTTTCATGTAGCAATTGTGAAAGTCATCTCCTCATTTAATGGCACTTGAGTTGTTTTTAATATTAGTTTAACTTCATGGAATACTTAAAGTGCTCTCCTAGAGTGACTTAGCACTTAAGGGGCACTTAGGGGGTAGTAGCCAGAGCCAAGAATCTGTATGGTAGTATTATTCATTCCGCTAATATTAGTACATGAAGCATTTATCATTCATCAAATGGTAAGGCATGATAAAGTACAATTTTTCAATTAAATTATTTATTAATGAACCAAGGGTTAAAGATTTTATAATTTTTACAAGTTCAAGCAAACTATTGTTATTTAAGCTTCCTTTATCTGTGATTCCACCCATTAATTATATACATGTATGTGTGTGTGTGTGTATATATATATTGTGTATGCGTGTGTGTATATATATATATATATGTGTGTGTGTGTGTGTGTGTGGTGCATGTAATATTAATATTACATGCTACACACGCACACATGCACGCGCACGCACGCACGCGCACGCACGCGCGCACACACACACACACACACACACACACACACACACACACACACACATACATATATATATATATATATATACATATTCATCTTCACATACTATACATATTTATATTGTCATGAACGTCCACACACCCACCACACATGCAGATAAATACATTAATATAAGTTTAAATACAATGTGTGTGTGCGTGCATGCATATTTGTGCATGTTGTGAAAATATATATATATATATACACACACACACACAGTTTTAATGAACAAAAGATAAAACAAGACAGCAAATCAAGAAATATCATATGTGCATTATAATGTACTGTACTTGCATTTTTTTTACTACTTTATACAGTAATTAGATATACCAGGCAATTAGGCAAGATAATTTCCAAATTATCCCTTAAAGGGCATTGTGTTAGGTCTTACAAATCTTATCAGACGTACAATATGGTAATTGCAAAATCTATCATTTAACTACTATCCTTTCTTGTGCAGAATAAAGTATTGATTTGGGTCAATAGAAAACTTGTTAGAAATGCCTTTTTGAAGCGCATAGTTACCAGCAGTACTAGTATTGTTTTATGGTGTCATGAAATAAGCATTTTATTTAAAATTTATAAATTTACATTAAAATTGACTAAATACAGTAATCTATCAAATTTTGAGTTGCTGTAAAAAATTATTTTGATTGAAGAGTTTTTTTTATAATGGTTCTATCTTGGTTATCAATTGCATTACCATAGTTTCGTTTATCATTTTAATATACATTATCAGTTTTGTGATTATCTAAAACTAAATTTGCTATCAGGATTAAATGTCTTAAATAAACATGAATGTGGTTAATGGATTGTTTCAGAGATTTGAGAGTTCTGGCAAAATCAAATTTGTTTTAACATGTAAAGCATATTATTATTTGTATCATGCCTTGTGTATCTCTGTGAAACTTCATGCATGAGAGAGAGAGAAAGAGTGTTGTTAGAAAATAATGCCTAAATCAAATTTATTTGTGTTTCCTGGACAATGGAAATCTTAAGACTCATTCATAGCAGCCTGGGAAAATGCTCGGCCAGTTGTGATGATCTCTCTAGTTTTCATCGAAAAGGTAATGGGATTTGATTGAGATTTCAAGATGTATTTTCAGCACACTCTTAATTTATGTATGTTGCGCAGTTTAGTATATTAGTGTTGTTGTAGATACATTGTCATATTTATTCCACACAAAGGTATACATTGTCATATTTAAGCCACACAGAGGTGCAATTGTCAAAACATCAGTAAGTAGAAGTCCTTTTCCAGTTTTAACAAGAGAATTTATTGCAATGAATAATTGCGAGACCAAATAATTTGCTGTATACATATCTTCCTTTTTCTACATATTTTAATATACAAGATACAAAAACAAATTAGATAACTGAAAAAATTATTTTAATCCTTTTTTTTTTACTAGAGTATTTTATCAAATGCTGTATGAGCAGTGCAGTATTTATTTTTTCATTTTGGCACATGTAGTAATTACTTCTTTATCTTGCCTTTCTTTCATTTACTGCCTTGAGGTAGGGTCAACCAGGCCATTGGATGCCACTGTATGCAGTGACATACAAAGCTCTTCTAGGAACACATTGCTATTGTAAGTTGTTAAGATATACAATATTCCTTCCATTTCCTAGAAAGAAACTGAACTAATTTCTGTCACAAGTAGCCAAAGTTATCATTCAGGATTTTATAGGTCGTTTTAATTTGTTTGTCCCTGTTATAAATAATAAAGGGCTTACCCCAATAGTTAACTTGCTGATTGTTGATAATTACAGGTTTTGTTCATATTTCTAACTGCTTGGTTGTTTGAATGTGTGTTTGGAAGTACAGTATTTCAAATAATTATTGTTCATGAACTCATAGTGACATGGACCAAACTTTAAAATATGAAGTTTGTTTTATTTCTATTTAGAAGTGTAATAGGGGTTACTGGTCATAATAGATACAGCCAAGTTGTGCGTAAAGCTGTCATGTACGTTCACACAAGTTATTCCATTGAATATATTATCCTACATGCAGATATTTGTAAATGAAGAAAAATACTGCATGAATAATGTTTTTAGACAAAATAAAATATAAATAAAAAAATAGAGGGATGGGGGAGGGGGCACCAGTGCACACGTTAAAGAATACAGACATTATATTTGAATGATAAATCTTAGGGATGAAAATATTTTATGATAGGAGTGTTAACTGATTTGAGTCTATATCTTCAAAATGATACAAAAAGAGGGTGGCCATAAAAACTTGAATATGAACATTTATCTCGTAGTGAACACCAAGTGTTTTTCTTGGTTATTTAAATTGCAGCTTCTTCCAAAGGAGCATAATATTTAAGGTAAATGCAGATTATTGCAATATTTCATGTAATTTGGATGAGCATGTATGCACTGAACTCACGATTTGGCTAATAATTTCTAACAGTGAACAACCTATTTTAAACAAATGAAGGTTCCTCCAGCCTCTGTGCATGTATTCAAAGATGTAAACTCAATACCTCACTTACGTATGTTGACACAATACTGCAGTTCTGTACAATGTGCTATAGTTTTGTACATTCTGTTGTAGTACAGCACATTCTACTGTAGTTTTGTCTATTCTACTCCAGTCTTGTATATTCTACTGTAGTTCAGTACATTCTACTGTAGTTCGGTACATTCTACTGTAGTTCAGTACATTCTGCTGTTGTTCAATACATTCTACTGGCGTTCAATACATTCTACTGTAGTTCAGTACATTCTACTGTAGTTCAGTACATTCTACTGTAGTTCAATACATTCTACTGTAGTTCAGTACATTCTACTGTAGTTCAGTACATTCTACTATCATTCTGTACATTGTACTACAGTTCTGTATATTGTACCCTAGTTGTAACATACACTGTGCTGCTTGTGTCAGATGGTATGGAAGTAATAGCATGTTTCACTCATGTTCTGGAATGATATAGCATTGGTGAAGGGTCTCTTTGGTGTCAGTGCAGACAGTCATCAGTTTGTAAAACACATTTGTATCTCTGACTTTTCTTGGTTTCTCTAGGGGGGGGGATAGAAATATACTTGATATATATATATTACATGTTTTATATCTTGTGTTTTCAATATGTTTTAATGTCCTAATTAAAAAGCAGATAAAATTTAGTGAAGAGAATGAAAATGGTATTTGCCCCCTCCCCTCTCCTTCCCCTGGAGTATACATATGAACTATAAAAAAAGTATACTGATACATTTGTATGAATAGATGATTGTGTGTGTGAATGTATGTATATTCTGTACGTGTTTTCTTCATTTTGGTTTTCACTCGACCATTCAGGCATCAGTTATCATAAAATCCTATTTGTTTGGAAACACTCTGTTATTATTTTAATGAGTCTACCAGCTAGAATGCCTCACAGGGAGCATTTGTGTAATTGTGTATTGCTACAGGGGGACCCAAAAGTGTTGTTGAAGTATTATAATGTGTGCTCTGTGAACTATTTTATACCTAAAGTGATAAAAGCCGTCACTGGCAGATAAGTTTATTTTTCAGGAATTATGAAAAGAAAATACTTGAAAAAAATTTACAAGAGAATGAAATTGTAAAATAAAAATGATAAAAGAAGATAAAATGCTAAAGACTTGTTTTATTTTCTCGTAAATGGTAATTGTTTGGTTGTATTTGGTTGGTGACTGGTTGTGTATGGTCACACATGGTTAGTTACTAATTGTGTGTGATTTTCTTCTCTTACCATCAATATTCACTATGTAATATGATAAACATGTTTTTCGTTTTTTTCTTCATAGAATTGCTTATACAGTTCAACACACGTTTAAAAATATGATGCAAGAAAAAATACAGAAAAAAGTGATAATAGATTATTTAGCAACGTTGTTTACACTCAAGTTTTGAGTGAATTAACTGCAGAATTCAAAATTTCTCAGAATGTGAAGTTTTTGTTATAAAACATTTCACTGAGGAAAGTTGCATCAAAATGCTGAATAATAGATGAAATGATATAAGCATTTTTAAAAACATTTTGCATATATTCATAAAAAAATACAGGGTAGGTGAGCTAGGTAGAAATTTCTTGAATTTTGAACCAATGTGTTGGAAATCTATTCATATATTTATCACGCTCATGATGTGCTTGCATTCTGTCTTCACGTGTTGGGATGACTAGGATTTTAATTGTCTGCTAATGATAAATGTAATATGCCCGTGTATATGGCTTTCCACGTTTACAATATTCTTGGCACAGATTTCACTCCTACCTAACTGGATGTTTGGTCTGCGAGTCATGCGACCAGATCTTATACCAAGCTTCTTTCAGGGTTGGAGATGGGCATGATGGGAACTGTAGGTGAGGGCAAGAGGGACATAACTGAACCCCACAGCTGTTTTGCTCCACTGCCCCTTCTCTAGCTCGCTCACTCGCATGCTTTCCTCTTTCCCTCCACCTCCTTTTCCTGTGCTCTATCCCTCTTTCTCCTGCCTCCATTTCCCATCCCCACTACCAATTTTTCCTACCTCTTCTTTTTCTCTCCCATCCTCTTTCTCCTCCCTCTTCCAATTTCTCCTTCCTCTTACCCACTCACACTTTCTCACTTTCTTTAACCTTCCTTTTCTCTTTCTTTTCACCTAACTCTTTCTCCACACCCTTCTCTTCACCCTTCCTCTTTCTACCCCCCCCCCCCTTCTTTTTTTTCACCCTTGTTTCTTTCTCCTCCTTTTCCTCTCTAATTTCCCCATCCGCTCTTCCTCATTCCTCCTTCCCTTCCATCCCACCTTTATCTCTATCCATTTTATCTCCTTTCTCGCCCAAATTCTTGTATTTACTCTTATCTTTGCTGTACTTACTGCCTCATCCCAATTTTAAATTATATTCTGTCTTATACAGAAGTCTCTCTCTTTATGTGCAGTATTTAAACCTGTCTATAAGTTTACCTAATTTTATATGTTAATGACTTACTTTTAACCCATCTTTCTATCCTATTTTACATCTTCTCAACGTTTGTTTTTCATAGATCCTTAATGCGTGACTACTCTTTGTTCTTTTATACTGAAAGTAATTGGTTTTCTATTAATTTTTTGTATTTTCTTGCAGATTTTGTTTATGTATAGTTTTCTTCAATAAAGATCATACAATTTGCATGATTGTTATTTAACACACCCATTCATAATGTACAGTACTTATTGTCCAAGATAAGAAGATAAGAATAAAGGTAACTGCAGAAGGTCTAGTGGCCCATACGAGGCAGCTCTTGAGAGATGTATTTATTTCATACACTCAAGCATCTCTGAGATAAAATATATATATAATAGAACCATCATCTTCAGACTGCTTAAATTAAAAGGCATCAAACTTCAGGATAAGGTTTTATGCACCTGCCTTGTGTCTACCTTGTGATAGGAAGGTAGAAATAGTCTAAGCTACTCTTATCGCTTTGAGGTGTATTTTATTGTCTCAATGGACGTACTTGAACTTTATGATGATTTTAGGGCTCCAGTGTCCCCTGGAGCCCTCCTGGGGACACCTGGTTGACGTCCGGTCTACCAGTAAGGTAAGGGAATGTTCTACTATTCTTTCTTGTTCATTACAACCAATGGAGTATGGCACAAATTTTCAGGTCATATACTTAATATAAGAGTACAGTACTGTATTTGTATATTTTGTTGCATTTGCAATTCTGCAGTTGCAATACTGTGAACCTTGATAACCAATCACCTCTGTATAATAGACTAAATGCCAACTCTATACCCAACTCCCTAGGTATGGAGGGAGGGAATTATCAGGGGAAAGCGCCAAGCCATTAGGACTATATAGCCCTTGGAAGGGGGTCAAATGAAACACCATTATTAATGTGTTATCTAAAATAACTACTATAGAAAAATTTGTGATAAAGATGATTAGTATGTAAATTTTTGTTACAGTTGAATGTAAGTTGGTACAGTACAGTATTTCAAATTACTTAATTTATACTTCTCTTTATTGACAATTTTATTTGCACCTGGCCAATGAATGGTATTAGGCTACTAAGGAAGTGATAACATAGGCTACCTAGGAAGAGATACATTAGGCTACCTAGGAACATACCTTAGGCTACCTAGGAAGTAATACCTTAGGCTACCTAGGAAGTAATACCTTAGGCTACCCAGGAAGTAATACCTTAGGCTACCCAGGAAGTAATACCTTAGGCTACCCAGGAAGTAATACCTTAGGCTACCCAGGAAGTAATACCTTAGGCTACCTAGGAAGAAATACCTTAGGCTACCCAGGAAGTAATACCTTAGGCTACCCAGGAAGTAATACCTTAGGCTACCTAGGAAGTAATACCTTAGGCTACCTAGGAAGAAATACCTTAGGCTACCCAGGAAGTAATACCTTAGGCTACCCAGCAAGTGATACCTTAGGCTACCTAGGAAGTAATACCTTAGGCTACCTAGCAAGTGATACCTTAGGCTACCTAGGAAGAAATACCTTAGGCTACCCAGGAAGTAATACCTTAGGCTACCCAGGAAGTAATACCTTAGACTACCCAGGAAGTAATACCTTAGGCTACCCAGCAAGTGATACCTTAGGCTACCCAGGAAGTAATACCTTAGGCTACCCAGGAAGTAATACCTTAGGCTACCCAGGAAGTAATACCTTAGGCTACCTAGGAAGTAATACCTTAGGCTACCTAGGAAGTAATACCTTAGGTTACCTAGGAAGTGATACCTTAGGCTACCTAGGAAGTAATACCTTAGGCTACCTAGGAAGTAATACCTTAGGTTACCTAGGAAGTGATACCTTAGGCTACCTAGGAAGTAATACCTTAGGCTACCTAGGAAGTGATACCTTAGGCTACCCAGGAAGTAATACCTTAGGTTACCCAGGAAGTAATACCTTAGGCTACCTAGGAAGTAATACCTTAGGTTACCTAGGAAGTGATACCTTAGGCTACCCAGGAAGTAATACCTTAGGCTACCTAGCAAGTGATACCTTAGGCTACCCAGGAAGTAATACCTTAGGTTACCTAGGAAGTGATACCTTAGGCTACCTAGGAAGTAATACCTTAGGCTACCTAGGAAGTAATACCTTAGGTTACCTAGGAAGTAATACCTTAGGTTACCTAGGAAGTGATACCTTAGGCTACCCAGGAAGTAATACCTTAGGCTACCTAGGAAGTAATACCTTAGGCTACCTAGCAAGTGATACCTTAGGCTACCTAGGAAGTAATACCTTAGGTTACCTAGGAAGTAAGTAATTATCAAAAGAATGCACCAAGGCGGGGAGACTGTAGCAGTGGCTAACCAAGGACGTGATACCTAACTTCAAACTTAAAAAGCTCATGATCTTGAAAGTAAAATTTCCTTTTAAAATTTAGGTGTGTAACCTGCCTGTATATAATAGTAAAAAAAAAATGTATATATATCGACTAGAAATTTAGAATATTTGCGTGATAATGAAACAATGATGGCTCAAAAAGGGTTTTATATGGTGATTTTGGGGCTTTAGTGTCCCCGCGGCCCGGTCCTCGACCAGGCCTCCACCCCCAGGAAGCAGCCCGTGACAGCTGACTAACACTCAGGTACCTATTTTACTGCTAGGTAACAGGGGCATAGGGTGAAAGAAACTCTGCCCATTGTTTCTCGCCGGCGTCCGGGATCGAACCCGGGACCGCAATATATACGCAAATGAGCCACAGGGATGTGAGGAAACGCTTGTTTTTGAAATTGAAATAAGTTTATTGAGGTAAAATACACACAAAGGGATGAGGTAGCTCAAGCTATTCTCACCCCGTTCAATACATCGTGTTAACACACACATAGATACACATCACAAGCCATAAACATATTACCAAACATTGTGAGAGATAAACATATACATTTCCTAGACTTGTTTAGTGTAAGGGAAGTAAATAGGGAGGGAGGTGAGGGAGGATGGGAGGGGAGGGTAGAGGGAGGTGCAGACCCCGGCAGCTGCAGCAGCAGTGTGGCGTGTGCCTCGGCTCCGGTGGCTGTGCCCCACACAGTACGCGCAGCCCTCTCCTGCACGGTACTCCAGCCCTCCCCGTGCCCTGCCTCACGCCCCTCCCCACTCACCGTGCCCAGCCCCCATTACCTGCGCCACTTCCCGCGCCCCTCGCTGCTCACCGTGCCCCTCGCCACTATTTCTGCATATACCATACCCGTGCCCCTCTCTACTCCCCCACGACACTCCCCACTACCCCTACCCATCACCCATTTCCCGTACCCCCCCTTGCCACTACCTCTACCCATCCGAATACCCCCACCACCGTAATACCCATACCAATTCCCATAATCCGCGACGCTCTCCAATACCCTCAACCAACCCCTGCCCCATTACTCATGCCCCTTCACTAAACACTCAACAACCCACACCCCCGAACCACACCTGTTCCCCTGCCACATTATACCCTCACTGCACACATATACCCCCTCATCCATATACCCTACTATACCCCTGGGGAATACACCCATACAAGCTTCCTACACCCATTCACACTCTCCTCGCGTTCCTCATATGCCCCTCTCCGTGCCTCGCCCACACACTGGCACGTGCCCATACCCACTATACCCGCGCCCTTGCACACACCTCACGCCGCTATCCCCCCATTCCCCCCCTTTGCTCGACCCCCTCTCCAATTTCAGTACCCAACCTGCCCCACCTCCCACAGGCACCCTCCTCCCCTATACTTTTCTACTTTCGTCACAAGGAATAAAGGTGGATATAAGGACGCAGAAGGGACCAGGTGAAGGGAAGTGATGGTGATGATGGATGAAGTGTGATGGTGACCAGAGAGGAAGTGTGGGCCTGGCTGCCACCATGTATCGCTGGCTACCTTGGCTGACCTCCCGCGCCCTCCCCACACTTGCTGGCTGGTAAGTGTTCCTCTCACTGTGTTGTATATGTCTCACACACACACACACACACACACACACACACACACACACACACACACACACACACACACACACACACACACACACACACACACACACACACACACACACACACACACATATTTGTAATGCTACACACACACACACACACACACACACACACACACACACACACACACACACACACACACACACACACATGGGGATACATATTTGTAATGCTACACACACACACACACACACACACACACACACACACACACACACACACACACACACACACACACACACACACACACATGGGGATACACACACACACACACACACACACACACACACACACACACACACACACACACACACACACACACACACACACATGGGGATACATATTTGTAATGCTACACACACACACACACACACACACACACACACACACACACACACACACACACACACACACACACACACACACACACACACACATGGGGATACATATTTGTAATGCTACACACACACACACACACACACACACACACACACACACACACACACACATACAATTTGCAAGGTTAGAAAGGCGCAACAATACATAAGTGGAATGTGTCTTTGAAAATACTACTCATGTATATCGGCGTTAATGCGTATGTTTTTACTGCATATGCTTTTGTGCAAGTGCTGTATATGTGTGTGCTGTGGGGCCTGACAGCTGAGTGGACAGCACTCGGGATTCGTAGTCCTGAGGTTCCGGGTTCGATCCCCGGTGAAAGCGGAAACAAATGGGCAGATTTTCTTTCACTCTGATGCCCCTGTTTCCTAGCAGTAAATAGGTACCTGGGAGTTAGACAGCTGCTACGGGCTGTTTCCTGGGTATGTAGTGGCCCAGGACCCACTCCCTGGGTGGGAGTGGGTCCTGCGCCACCACCAGCTGTGGGAGTGGGTCCTAGGCCACCACAAGCTGTGGGAGTGGGTCCTGCGCCACCACCAGCTGTGGGAGTGGGTCCTGGGCCACCACCAGCTGTGGGAGTGGGTCCTGCGCCACCACCAGCTGTGGGAGTGGGTCCTGGGCCACCACCAGCTGTGGGAGTGGGTCCTGCGCCACCACAAGCTGTGGGAGTGGGTCCTGGGCCACCACCAGCTGTGGGAGTGGGTCCTAGGCCACCACAAGCTGTGGGAGTAGGTCCTGGACCACCACCAGCTGTGGGAGTGGGTCCTGGGCCACCACCAGTTGTGGGAGTGGGTCCTGGACCACCACCAGCTGTGGGAGTGGGTCCTGGGTCACCACCAGCTGTGGGAGTGGGTCCTGGGCCACCACCAGCTGTGGGAGTGGGTCCTGGACCACCACCAGCTGTGTGAGTGGTTCCTGGACCACCACCAGCTGTGGGAGTGGGTCCTTGTTACGGACCCGTAACAAGGACCTGTTACGGGTCCTTGTTACGGGTCCGTAACAGTCCTGAGCCACCACCAGCTGTGGGAGTGGGTCCTGGGCCACCACCAGCTGTGGGAGTGGGTCCTGGGCCACCACCAGCTGTGGGAGTGGGTCCTGGGCCACCACCAGCTGTGGGAGTGGGTCCTGGACCACCACCAGCTGTGGGAGTGGGTCCTGGACCACCACCAGCTGTGGGAGTGGGTCCTGGGCCACCACCAGCTGTGGGAGTGGGTCCTGGGCCACTACCAGCTGTGGAAGATCCTTACTGTGGCATGTCCTGTCAATATTTATATCCTAAAAACGTGTACTGAGCTACGCTGAGTACGGGCGCCGTGGCGTGGTGTGTCCTCCCTCTTCCCCGGCCGTGGGCTGCATAACTTCTCCCAGGACAATACGCATTTGTGCAGTTAGCCTAATTTAGCATTAGTAGCGGCGTTTGGGAAGTGGTTTCCCCCGGAGTGATCGTCCTCCCCTACTGGTCACATCACATAAATTCCAAAGAGGCCTTCCACTCAGAATGTAAATGAGTGATTTTCTTGTGCTGACCATCGCGTGCTGCAGTAAGGGAGTCTTATTTAACACGTCGCCCCTCGGGTTTCCACGGTGTTTATCTTCTCGCCTTGGTGGGTATGGATGTGTACTGACCTTAATGGACTCATAGGGTTCAGTCTTAACTCCTGAGCTCCGCCATACCATTTGCCGTCTAATACACTCACTCACACTCACTGGGAGCCGGTCGGCCGAGCGGACAGCACGCTGGACTTGTGGTCCTGGGTTCGATCCCAGGCGCCGGCGAGAAACAATGGGCAGAGTTTGTTTCACCCTATGCCTCTGTTACCTAGCAGTAAAATAGGTACCTGGGTGTTAGTCAGCTGTCACGGGCTGTATATCAGTGGCCAGTGAATCTGGCCACCGATGGCTTCCTGCCTTCCATATACTTAAGTGTTCCGTAATAATACATCTCGCTTCCTACAACTTTAGAGACAGAAATCACACTAACGTGAAGTATCACTGAGAAAATCCGTAGGAGCCGTGATGAGGATTCGAACCCATCCTCGAATTGGTTCGAATTCGAACCAAAATTTGACGAATCAAATTCGTCAATTTCATCATTACATATGGAGACGATTGAATGGGATTTCACTTAACTCTTTTGAGGCAAGCACTCGTGCTCCTAATGAACGAATAATTAGGTTAAGTCGCCCAATTAGAAGCGCGTATACTGCTAGCTAGAAGATGACGTCAGAGTAGGAGGCACTGTGATTGGTTGCGGCCCAGTAGCTGAAGCAAGGAGGTGACTTGGATGGCGTAGCGCGCCATTCGGAGCCCGCCATTACTACAGCGGTTGCTGCTGCTGGTCTGTCTTCCTTCCAACACTGCGCCCCGTCTCGCACACCTGTAACCCCTAACTTATGTTAACCCATTGCACACCTGCCCTCATACCTACTTTGCACACCTTTTAGACCGTTGCACCTGTTAACCTCTCGCACGTGTTCACACTTTGCACCTGTTAACCTGTCGCACCTGTTCACATCTTGCCCCTGTTAACCCCTCGCATCTGTTCACATCTTGCACCTGTTAACCTGTCGCACCTGTTCACATCTTGCCCCTGTTAACCCCTCGCATCTGTTCACATCTTGCACCTGTTAACCTGTCGCACCTGTTCACATCTTGCCCCTGTTAACCCCTCGCATCTGTTCACATCTTGCACCTGTTAACCTGTCGCACTTGTTCACATCTTGCCCCTGTTAACCCCTCGCAGCTGTTCACATCTTGCCCCTGTTAACCCCTCGCAGCTGTTCACATCTTGCCCCTGTTAACCCCTCGCAGCTGTTCACATCTTGCACCTGTTAACCTGTCGCACCTGTTCACATCTTGCCCCTGTTAACCCCTCGCATCTGTTCACATCTT